TTCAAATGAGCCGGAGATGAGTCAAGGAATGCCGGACATATCAACAGTTCAGCATGCCTGTTTATACATGTACAAACCAGCCAGATCGTGTTAACGAGCCCTCGAGCGCAAAGTGGATAAAGCACGCCTGTGTGGAGTAAGTGCCTGGAAGCACTTGTATTGATTTTGTGAAAAATTATTAGAATTGATTAAATATTTTCATCTTTGCAAAAGGCCGCGAGACACTGGCATCTAAACTAACACTTCTCATATTTGGCAAATGCTTTGCACTCCAATGCTTGGGCGAAAAAATGATTTCAACCCCCCCCTGTAGTTCACCATCACATCGTTGGATGTAGGTTATCTTGACATAGCAGTAACCTCAGGACATCTGTCGGTTTCAAGATGCGGGTGCTTCCAACGACCACCTGCGATGCAGTCAGGAAAACAAATGATCATACTGGAAATGTTCCTTTTCTCGAACTCAGTCCCCAGTGGTGTATCGGGGGGGGTGCAACTTGTCCCCCTCCCTGACGGACTTTTACACGTTGATTTTCATGTGAAGATTTATTTATCGAATTTTTAGTTTAATATTTATATATATCAAATATTAGCACCAAAACCCAAAGAAAACAACACCATGAAATATAAGCTAGGATTTTGGGACTGTGAGTTAGGCTTTTGATATTTTTTTCTCCCCCAACACCATGTCAAATAAGCCTGAGGGGGCATTCGCTTTTGAATTTGCCACCCTGACACCAAAAGCTGGATACGCTACTGGAAGCGCCCATTCCAACTTGGACTGAGTGAAATTCATAGGGACACTCAGTGCACAAGTCTGCTGATTACATCGCCAAATAAAGAAACACCACATGAAAATAATCATCCTTTTTTTTGATCGGGACTAGTTCTCCAAGAATGTCTGCTTAAATTAGCTGGCCAACAGTGCATGGCACGTTAATCGTGCGTTGTTCTGCATGTTCTAGGTGGAAATTAGGGCTGAATAGATTTGAATAATTCGACCTTCAAATTGAATCGAATATCCAAATATTCGGTCGTACCGACCAGTAGATTGTTGATGAACAATATACAAACTTTTGATCAGTTGTAATAACACACAATTGTACATTATAATCACTATAATAGTTTCTCACGTCTAGGAGTATCTCCAGCCATGATTTAGCAAGATTTACGAGATGAACAATACTTCTTGTCCTGTTGAAAATTTCTATTTCATTTAAATCTTTTAAAAAATAATTACTTTTCAGATCGTATTAAAGATTTGTCACTTTTCATGTGAATCTGCTTGAAACAAGCCTCCATAGTGCAATTTTTCACATTTTAAACAAAAGAAAATTCTCCCTTTCATCAATTTTGCATTTGAATGTTCAAATTCAGAAAAAATTTTTTGAATATTCGATAATCGATCCAATATTTGGATATTCGGCACAGCCCTAGCATTCATAAGTAAATAGTTTCTGTCATTAATTTAGATGCATTGCTCATCTACAGTCCTTTATAAAATGACAAGATGTATCAGTTTGCAATCTTCAGGAAGCTAGGGGGACTTCGGTCAGAAAGCCAATGAGAGTGTAACTCCTAAAGAACTGTAAATTCATCCCCTCCCCCATACCTGTGTGTTCGGTGAATGGCTAGCCACAGTCTCTTTGATGGTCCTGACTTCCGAGCATGTCACCCCGCCCAGGACGAACACAATCAGAAGTGGGTGATCGCTGGGCCGCGGCTTGCTCACATTCACAAAAAATCTGCGCACGAGACGAGAATCAATAGAACTTCCCATGATTAGCAGAACGGAAAACAATTCTGTGGATCACTGAATCAAACAGTGGAGAACACATGAACAAAACATTGTAACCGACTAAATAACCATCCATGCAACATCAGTCCGGCTTGACCCAAGTTGAAGAAAACACGTTGTCAACCTTGCTCAAATCTTGACAGGTTCAATGATCGCTGTTTTATTGAACACAAAATTTGACAAGATCTCGTTAGGATAAAGTTGGATTGCCCACAACAAACCTTGAACATAGCAGCACAGTTCATCAATACATTGATGTGGGCATTAGTTCAAAGACAATTCAGAACAGATAAGAGAAAGAGGGGTCAACAGGAGAAAGAAAGCTCATGCGATGAAAGTGCCTCTTTTCAAAATTAACCAGGAATCTTTTCAAAATTAACCAGGAATCAATACTTTAAAAAGTAACACAGACTTTCGAAAATGTAAGCCCCTCTTGTCTACTGCACTCCTCTCTCAAACTTCTTTTCTACAATCTTATAATCCACATTCCCAGGACATCTCTGTTTATAGCAACCTTCCTGAATCTTCTCAAACTGGGCATTCAGGAAACCAACTGAACCCTCCTTTCACTCCCAACTTTCATGCGCGTTGAGTCTCACACCTGAAGCCCGTTTTGATGAGGTCCCTCAGCCCCGTCGACTTGTATTCGATGTCGGGGAGTTCGGACTTGTTGGGGCTGAAGATCCCATCCAGGACTTGCTTGAAGAACGGATTGTAGGACGCCGGTGCGACCATGCTGCCGTGATCAAAAATAGACCTTGGCAATGAGAGAGAGAGAAAGAAATTAATGTGTGATGCTTTGGGGGATCAAATACGATTAGGCAAAAGTTTAAGGTTGAGAGGCTCCGTGAACAACTCTATTCCCCAGATTTAGGACAGTGTAGGTTGTGATCCAAAATTCTACGATGATCAGACGCTCATGGTATAATTTATTTCTCTTCCAAAAGGGAGAGAAATAAGTAACGTCAGATGCTTTGGGGAATTAAATTAGATTGAGCAAAGTTTTCAGACTCGGAGGTGCCAAGATCAAGTCTATTCCCCGGACCTTCTACAATGGAGTGACATTAACCCTAGTCACTCTCCCTAATTATTGAAAAACCAACAGGTTTTACAGGATTTTGTAGGATTGAAGAAGGCAGAGCCCAGCAACTCTTACTCGTGAAATAAGTGTAACTCGAAAGTTAAAGTACAGTTAAACCTCGTTATTAAGAGGTCCTTCAAACTTGGCAAATTACATCGTTGAAAAGGGAACCTTGTATTATCAGGAATGAAAGTTTGTTATGAGTAGAAGCTTGAATTAATCACTTGCTACCAGGTGCTTTTAACCCCTTCACGGCGGGATTATTTTGACCGCAACTGCTGGGCTGTGGCATGCCCTGAATGGAGGGCTTTGTCCAGCAGCAGGCCCCATTGAACCAGCAGCTGCATGGTGAATAGACTGTATGTGTGGTATGCACTAATCCTCACACAACGGTGCGGTAGTAGCAGTCCTCCGTAGCGAAGGGGTTAAATCTGCTGTGCATACATACGGGCCATTTTCAAGATTTTCAGTTTTCAAAAATCTTCAAAAATTCATCATTTCATTTCATGGACGTTTACACCCACATGAATGGCTGTTTGGTGTCTACTCTAAGCTGACAGGCAACCTCCATTTACTCCTGAGTATTTCAGCCGGGCCTGCCGTCCTGTAAAGAGAGCCCAGAATTTGCGAGGTGTTGCGTAATTTCCTTTGTCCCCAGGGAATGCGAGTGGTATCCTTTCAAACGCGACTGGATTAGCGTGCAGCAGCGCTGTGTCGCCCATCCATGGGGCCCTGGAGCACTTTTGTCCGCGATGCTAATCCATGGGCATGCTATGCTGAAAACAGTGGTAAACTGTTTAAAAAACAATGAAACCTTTGAAAAATGCAAGCCGAAAAATAATGGCAATTCCTAGCAGCAGGTCTTTTGTTCCGAGTACAGTCTTTTGTTACACGGACCAGCTCTTTTGTCCCGTTTCAGGCACCCCGGCTCTGTGTATAAGCCCATGGTGCCCGACACGGGGTTCCCCGGCAGCAAGTGGTTAGCAGTGCTCTTATTATGAGGGTCAACTGTCTACTGGATAAAGCCATTGAGCTTCTTGGGTCGGTGGAAGACCCAGGAATTGTTTGCGGCAAAGAAATCCCTTGGCACGTTGAGTAGAAGACGTTTAAATACTCAGATTAACTACTTCACAATCTCATTCTACAAATTAAATCTACCAAGTCCATGCAACTGCAAGCCAAGAATATACACTACCACTGAGACACCAGGTTTCAATTACCCACGATAAAAGGAGTGACTTTACATGGTCTTTCCTTCAACAGTAAGCCTACTTGGTGAGTTGGATAGGCAGGGTTTGTGAGATCATATTTCCTACCTGAACTGCTGCAGATGACCCCTGGCCCTTCCGACTGCCCTGAGCTTGGTGAAGAGGTTATTCACAGCTTCTCGCACTCTGTCTTCTGAGCGTGTCTCCCCGACTGGAAAAGAACATGGCAGTGGTTTTAACGTCAATGAATGTAGACTCAGAAACCAATGACATTAAGAAATTTGAAAATACACTGGACAGCAAAAGAAACTTGCCAAGTAACCAAGTTGCTGTGCATGTCAATTTCTTCTTTGTTATAAAGATAATCACTTGCTTTTGGGCATGTGATTAGTAAGGGGTATTGCAGCATACCCGTGTACAAAAATTGTTTATTTCTATGGAGTAAATATTTACGCGTGGCCTTTGACAGAAGTGGCAAGTTTCCTCTGCTGTTCAGTGTACTTCTGGTTAAGATTCATGATAAAGTAAGACAGTTACACGCATGTACAGGTGTGACGTCCTATGAGATAGGCAGATGTTTTCATGATCGTCTGAACTTTGTCGAGATCTCACAAACTGGAGTAATGCAGACCATCTGTAGGAAGAAGCCTTCTTGGAGATATTTTAGTGATTTTCACAAGGTCTGCTTGAGTTATCCATGCGGAACAAAAGCCACCACCTCCAAGATGGCTGCCACTGCCTTACACACTTACCAAACTGAGTAATCAGTTCAGACGGTTCCTGCTCAGATAGGATAGCCTGGACTAGCAGAGTCTTCAAGCTCCGTTCGTCAGAATCAAAGCTGATGCTGTCATCACCGGCTAGGGAGTAGGCAAAAACTAGCAGCAAGAGTATGGTATCTAGGCTATGAGCCCTGCAGAACAATCATGGACAATATAATTCAGAACTGCATTCATCAGATTGAAGCCTGATTCCCCCCCCCCTTCCAAAAAAATTTATTAGTCTTGGAAAGAAAGAAACACTAGTCAGTCTGGGTACAGAATCATTGTACACCAGGAAGCTGCCAGCAATGGTAAAAGCC